AAAAAAAATAGCGTAGGTTCAGAAAAAAAAATTCACCTTGACAACGTTCGCGACGTAAACAAACTTGTATTTTTGAAATTATTGAGCCAGAAAACAGGAAAAACGTACCTTTTTGCTCAGGTATATAAACATGGCTTATCTTTTTTCTTTTAAGACAGACAAAGAAGTAGCATTGCCTTCATCTACCTTTGATTGTAGTTAAATTTTTCTCAACTAACAGTCGCCGCCATTTTCAGAAGGACAAATACCCATAGGACAGTTCGAGCAGCATGGAAATAATGGAGAAGGTTCATTTCGTGTTACATGAACGAGAAGATGGCGGCCAAAATGGCGGTCGGAGGAGTACTTCGCTGGGTATGTTCATCTATGTCCTTAACTTTGTAGCAGGTTTCTAGCCTGTGAATACACCTTAAAAGAGGAAATTAGGGAAGCTTTGAGAGCTAGCGTTTTTGTAGTTACAGTAATCACTAAAACTGTATTCCTCCTCGATTAAAAAAAGTACTCTTCGCAGAATTGCAGACTTCTACAGTGTACAATCATGTAGCTAATATTGATGACCCGAAACTTACGCCAGCCATTATGATATTTGGGAACGATTATATTGTTTTTTTGTTTATTGATGAAAATCGATAACAACAGTTAACATGTAAAAAGAGTTAAATCTTAGGATGAATTAAGGGTTTTTTTAGCAATTGCATGGTAGAGGATTGTAAGCTAATAACGTTGATTCAATTTTTTTAAAATTTTCACTGAAGAGATTGATCAAGTTTTAGCTGATAGATAGTTTTCGTGGACTGTGTTTCGTGTATTTATCTACATTATCTAACAATTACAGGACAATAGTTTCACATCTTGAGTGTTATGCAGATCTGGAAATTACTAAATTAAAATTTGTGGAGTATAGTGCAACTGCAGGTGACAATAGCACCAGAACAGCCAATAATTAACGCGTGCATCATTGCCGGACTAATCTGAAAAAATTCACAATTCTTTACCAAGGTCCAGAGATCTGGAATTCCCTTCCTGTTACAATTACTTCTTTGTCAAGTTTTCCCAATTTTAAGAAAAAACTGCTAGAATTTTTAGTAAAATTATTACTGAACTGGCAAAGCCGCACTCTGTAGCACTATCTATGTAACCGTATTGTTACATACAAGGTGGCCTCAACTAAGAGCCTGGTGGTTTTTAGAGGTCACCTCACCATACATTGAAATATTTAATTTATAAATAATTACTGTATTAGGTAAAAAGGCAAATAAACAGGAGGAATGAATGAATGAATGTTTACAAAAAGAAAAGAGGTTAGCAGTTAATTATTCAAAGAGATGGACTTCAGATTTAAAAGAGTTTTCTGTTTTGCGGCAATGTGGTGGTGCAATCAATAATCAATATTCTTCCAAACTACAGAGGAGCCGATTGTTGGTGGCTGTCTCAGTCCCTGTCCTTGGTGTGCCATTTTTTCAAACTGTCAAAGCTGGTTCCATGAAGGTCCATCCCAGAGAGGTATGAAATACACATGCAAAGAGCTGCAGTTTTAAAAAATCTCACTGACCTACAGAAATCAAGGCACTGTTTATTAAGAACCTCTTTAAATACTATGGAGATAGCAGGGGATTGAGGGGGGTGGGGTCTGGTAAATTCAATATCTGTAGGAGGAAAGGGATACTGAGCACTACTGAAACTGAGTTAGCGCTTTTTGTCAAATAATTTTATTAGTTGGGGTGGGGAGAAATACTGGCCCCTCTCCCCACCAGGAGGGTGGAGGGGAAATACTATCATTTCCCCTTAAGCTGCTACACTGTGCATGTATAGTATGTCCTCTGTTTCTGATTATCTTGGGCCTGCCTTTGCAAAAAACGTGTTTACAACACCGAAAATGCAACTGCAGACATCCTAACCAATATACATTTTCACATTCGACGTTTCATTTCAGTTGGAGATTTATGATGGCCCAGTTGAAGAGTCAAAGTACAACCTGAATGAAGAAGAAATCTCACAGTTAGAGGAGAAAGTGTCAGTAGCTAGAAAATATGTCTGGGGGTGGACCTCTAGTGTGAAGGTGAGTAGAGCAAGAAATGTTACATGTACGGACGTTACCTCCAGACCATTATTTTTTTTGATGACGGTG